TCGACTTCTGGACAGTTCAGTAAAATATAAGTATGGGCTGCATGAAGTTCTTCGCCTGATAAGTAACGAAACTGACATGTGCCGCTTGGTCGACCCAGATAATTGAAAATAGAGAATGCTGTGCAATTGGGATCAATGGGGCCCTCATCATTTCTGCCTGCTCTCCGCCTCTTGCATTGAACGTGCGGCTCAAAATAGTATGATGCAAATGTCGTCACTTCTTCCACAATATATGCATTACAAATTGAAGCTTCAACATGTGCCTTATTCTTCAGTTTTTTCTTCAAATGATATAAGAATCTAGTTGAAATAGAAAGAAACTTATCGGGACATATTATATGATAAACTCATTTGAACTGTATTTTAAAGAAAACATTACCTCTCAAATGGATACATCCATCGAAATTGGACGGGACTCCGCAACTTTGGCCTCATAAGGCAAGTGAACTAAGAGATGCTCCATCGAATCAAAAACGCTGGAGGAAATATCCTTTCTAGGTTGCAAAGAATAATTGGAATATCTCTCTCTAGTTTTTCCATGTGCGATGCTTTTAACACTGTCGAGCAAATATCATGGAGGAAATTGCTTAATTCTGTAATGGCGCCCCATACAAAGTTCGGTAAAACTTCCTTCAAAGCTATTGGAATTAGTTTTTCCATCAGGATGTGACAATCATGACTTTTCAAACCTGTCAACTTGCATTCCTTCAAATCAACACATCTCCCGAGGTTCGAAGCATATCCATCGGGAAACCGCACAGATTTCAACCATTGACAAACAACTCGCCTCTGCTCCTTATCCAATGTATAAACTGCTTTCGGTTTTGGTCCCCTGCTGCTTGCATCCACAGCTAGTATTGGCCGATCGCAAATATCTCTCATATCTTTTCTTGCGTTCAAGTTGTCTTTTATTTTTCCGGCGACATCCATCACAGTATTTATGACATTGTCGAAAACATTCTTTTCTATGTGCATGACGTCAAGATTATGATGAATAAGATGGGCCTTCCAATATGGTAGATCCCAAAATATACTGCGTTTTGTCCACTTATGTGTACTTCCGTACTCAAAAGTCGTGCCGTGCGGGTTTTCAACAACAGTTGGAAAGTCCTGCACACGCTCCCAAATTTGATCGCCAGTCAACCTCAATGGTGGACGCGTTCTTTCAGTCCTATTCTTGCTGAACTCTTTCTTATTCCTTCTGAAAGGATGACTTGCCGGTAAAAATTGTCTGTGACAGTCAAAATAGCTAGGTTTCTTTCCATGTTTTAATCTAAATGACTTTGTCCTCTCCAAACATATCGGACATCCTAAGATCCCAGCTGTACTCCATCCAGATAACATTCCGTAAGCTGGAAAGTCATTTATCGTCCAAAGAAGGGCAGCCTTCATAACAAATATTTGATCGGTAGAAACGTCATACGTAGGGACACCTTCAACCCATAGCCGTTGTAACTCCTCAATCAATGGTTGCATATAAACATCTATCAACTTTTTCGGATTTTGCGGCCCTGTCACGATCAATGTCAAAAACATATAAGGTGTCTTCATGCACATACCAGGTGAAAGATTGTACGGCGTTAATATAACTGGCCAGCATGAATAACTTTTTTCCCCTGTTCTCCCAAATGGAGCAAATCCATCGGCACAGAGACCTAACCCGATGTTCCGAGGCTCCATTGCAAACTCGGGTATGTTCTATCAAAATGTTGTCATGCCTCGCATCCGAAGGATGACACATTAGACCCTCTTCTGTTTCATGATTTGCATGCCAAGTCATGTGTTCAAAGCGATGGCTTTAGACGCATAAAGCCTTTGCAATCTGGGGATTAAGGGCGGATAAAATATTTGCTTGCATGGTTTACGCTTCGATTACGACCCGGCCTCCTGTTAATCTTGTACCTAGGTTGGCTACGTAATTTGCAAGATTCTCGCATTTTCATCATCTCTCCAATATATCATACAACCCCTACTACATACATCAATCCTTACAACCGGAAGACCTAAGTTATCCACAGGCTTTTTCATATCACAAAAATCACTTGGCATGTTATTATCACGAGGCAATGATTCCCGCATTACTTCAACAAAAGAGTTGAAGCAATCCGTGACACATTATGCTCGCCTTGATATTTAATAGTCGGCCTGTCACCGATAACTTAGTATGGTCCTCACAACCTGTCTATAGAGGTTCATCTGTCGCTTTCAAGACATTCCAGAACTGATTAGATTGAAAAGTTTCATTATACACATTCTCCTCAAAACCCGTTACTCCTATATCTTCCAATTGTGAAGCATGACTAGTACCCACTTGTTCACGTGTAGGAGTAAAACTAGTACTTGCATGATTTGCTTCTGTGACAAAATTATAACTAGCTGCATCAATCACCATCCTCTCGTATGGGTTCAATTGCTCATAATAGCCACATTCTTCCCTAACTGAAAATTGGTCACTTCTTCCATATCCTTCATCAGATATAAATGGTTCACCATGGGAAGTCCAATTATAATAGTTCGGAGTAAACCCAAATCTAATAAAGTGTTCTCTAACTTGATCACACACAAGAAATTTACCATTACCGCACTTTTTACACGGACACTTTAACTTATTTCCATCCATAAACTCATATTTACTACTAGCAAAGTCTAAAAATAGTTCCAACCCAGTACGAAACTCATCTGTCAATCCTTGACGTCCAGGTAAGTTCTTATTATACATCGAAGCCCTTTTTCTTTGCATTGTGTCTGTATTAAAATAAAAAATTCTGGTAAAATATTTAAAATATCATATCTATTGTTCTTAATTAAAACCATAAAATTTTGAAAATTATAATTTTTGTTATTCACGTAACAATTAATATCAAATTGCAAAAATAGAAAAAACTACAATGTAAAGAAGACTTACCAGGTGCTATTTGACTGAAATATTTGTAGGAGAAAGTGATCAATTTGATGAGAATTGCAACGTCCACTTGGATTGCGAGACCTTCAATTAGGCACATACCCAAAAAAGAATAATCACTTAAGAATCATTTTTTAATAATTTTTAATGTGCGATGGAAACGGAATGTATCCATCGCAAATTTGCGACGGATATTCAACTCCGTCGCAAATTTTGCGACGGAATTTTCATTTATTCGTCGGAAATTTGTGACGGAATAAGGTTTCCGTCGCAAATTTGCGACGGATCAACGTTTCCGTCGCAAATTTCCGACGGATAAACGTTCCGTCGCAAATTTGCTACGGAAATAGTATCCGTCGTAAATTTGTGACAGAAACGTTGATCCGTCGCAAATTTGCGACGGAAATAGTATCCGTCGCAAATTTGCGACGGAATTTTCATTTATTCGTCGCAAATTTGCGACGGCACATAGTATCCGTCGCAAATTTGCAACAGAATTTTCGTTTATTCGTCGCAAATTTGCGTCGGAAACTATTTCCGTCGCAAAACGGCGTGGCCGTTCGGCCACATCCAAAGGCCGGCGAGGTGTCGCCGGTCGCCGGTCGTTAAACCGGTTATGCAGATACAAAAAAAAAAAACAAACATAAACATATATTAAAAAAACGGAAATTACAACGCAACGACGAATAGTCACGAAGCTAGACACTTACCGGTACAAAAGCTTCACCGAGATTAATATGTGCGTGCGCGGATTTTGCTGATTTCAGACAAACGAAAGAGGGAGAAAAACGAGAGAGAGCGAGAGGGAGCGAGAGAGAGAGAGATAGGGTTGGAATATAACGGGCTGATAAACTACGAATTTGCGACGGACTTACAATGCCGTGGCAAAATTTGCGATGGAATTTGCGACGGATTGTATTTTCCGTCGGAAATTTGTGACGACCGTTTTTCCGTCGCAAATTTGCGACGGAATTTGCGATGGCATTGTAAGTCCGTCGCAAATTTGCGACGGAAAATACAATCCGTCGCAAATTTGCGACGGCAAAACGTTCGTCGCAAATTTCCGTCGCAAATTTCGTGTTTTTTTGTAGTGGTAGGTTCTTAGACGCATGCTTCTAGCCTTGATTTGCAATGTCAAGGGCTTAATTAGGTTAAGCTAAAGGTGGTGCACCGGCTGGGTGTCCTTCGCGTGTCAGTACGTGGAGGATGAAAATGTTCAGTTCATGCACCACGTGACATGGAGAAAAATGTTCAGCGAGTGTCGCACGCCGCATGCCAAGAGGTGAGACATGGACGACAAGTCGCGATCACGATGGTCATAAAGCACATCAGCTAACGGCGACGTGGTGTGAGACGTGCGCTCCCATATATGCATTGTTTTATCGTAGCGATGACTTCATTCCAAGATTGAATGTGGAGGTTAGTAACCAAGGACAATAATATGCTGTCTGGGAATGAAGCAATCAACTCAATGCATCAGAATCGCTTGCACTTGGAGTGAACATTTATCACCCTCTTTTTGGCCTTTTTGCGTGTCTTTGCTTGTTGTTATAGCAATCCAAACAGTTGATTTTGATATTACACATGAATCATGTTGGGCTGGTGGGGCATACCAAACAAAGTGTTAAGTTCACAGTGATCAGAGCGAAATTCACAGGATTCGAAATCTTGAGAAGTGACCGAAAAACCAACCTTTAACTTTAGGTCTATCTTTCAATCTTCTCAATTAAAGCATATTATAATCACGCTAGTACGAATGCCGGAATCTGATTTTGTCGCTTTACTTCATCCTCGGGCAAATGCAGAGAATTGCTTGACAATTATGCATCCAAAAGTGGTGTAGCAAGTAGTGTGTCGCGTGTGTTTCGGAAAGAGTACTGCTTTTTCATTCCTGTAATGCTATGCAGGGTAAATGAGTGCTTTAGTATTTGATTCCTACATCAAGCTATTGGTTATAAAGAGTGGCCATTTTGAGGATGTTGCAGAGGTAAATTCAAGGCTAATGCTTTGCCCTCTCCCTTTATAATCCTAAGATCAACCGCTCTTTGAGAGGGTGCCCGATCGTTTGCGGCTTTTGGTGCCGACATCGAGTTCAACCATGGGATTTTCGCTGCTCCCCCCAAACACTCGAGAACTGTGGAAGGAGTGGGAGCTGCGGTTCCTCGTCCTCCTCAGCTTGTTCCTCCAATTGACCCTTGTGACTCAGGGCTACCGGAGGAAATCCATCTACAGGTACTGGATCCGAATCGTGGTCTGGACGACGTACCTATCGGCCGACTCCATCGCAACCCTCACGCTCGGCGTCCTCTCGAACCGCCTGGCCAACATCAAGGAAACGAAGGGGACGATCGATGCGAAGAGCCAGATCACTGCTTTCTGGGCGCCGTTCCTTCTCGTCCACTTGGGTGGGCCTGACACGATCACCGCGTATGCCCTGGAGGACAATGAGCTATGGTTGAGGCAGGTGGCGCGGCTTTGCGTCCAGGTAGGACTAGCTTGTTACATCTACTTCATGGCCTTGTCAGGGTCTACGCTGTCGATATTAGCAGCTGGGATGATCCTGATGGGGTTCATCAAATATGTGGAGAGGGCATTGTGTTTTTACTTGGCAAGCGAAGATCGACTTCGAGATTCGATGCTTTCGCTTCCCGATTTTGGTCCCATATACCCCAGGATAATGGAGCAGTACGCTCTGAAGAAAGAGGAGGGTTACCGAGTTGGCATTGCCGAGGTCACGGAGGTCCCGGCTCCAGAGGACCTCTCAGCCTCAGTGAACAGCGGTCGAGCCGGCGACGAAGAGAAACCCACAACTCTGGTCAAAGCCTACGAGTTGTTCAAGATCTTCAAGCTTCTCTTCGTGGGCCTTATCCTCAACTCTGGCGAATTGGCGGCCAGTAAGCGCATGTTCATGAACCCTGCCATGGACTCGGTGACGGCTTTTAGGATCGTAGAGATTGAGCTCGGGTTCATGTACGATCTGCTCTACACCAAGGTGCTGTTGCTGAACCGTGCTTGGGGCACCATTCGTTGGGTCATTAATCTCTCGGTGCCGTGCGCCGTGTTAGTATTCTTCTCCTTACAGGATAGGAAGGATTACCCCAAAGTTGACATCTATATCACCTTCTTGCTGATATGCGTGGCTATACTTTTAGAGATTTACTCGGTTCTTCTCGCATTTTCATCCGATTGGGTTGACCACTGGCGGCTTCAGAGACCTGGCGGGTCCACAATATCATCTGCCGTGGCTTTTCTCCAGATCTGCCCGAACCCAAGGTGGTCGAATTCCGTGGCCCAGTTCAGCCTCTTGGGATTATCTATCAGGAAAAGAAACAAGATCTTCAGCAAGTATCCGAAGCTTGCCAAGTTAGATGAGAAGTTGGAGAAGAACTTCTGCGTCGGTTACAAAGAGTTCAAGAGCAATATCAAAGAATGGACCTTCCATCACATGAGGGGTACGGTCGATCATCTGGGAAAAAAGGGCAGAATGAAGAGCGTGATGACGAGTCTTAAGCTGGAGGCTAGCGAAGAACTGAAGACGTCAAACAACGATGACCTGATGTGGAGTGTGAACGATATGGAGTTCGAACAGAGCATCCTCATCTGGCACATCGCCACCGAGCTGTGCCACTACAAGGACCTCGACGAGATGCAGAGAAAATACGCGGAACACATCACGGACTACAAGATGAGTAAGCTGGTCTCTCGGTACATGCTCTATCTTTTAGTACTCCATCCTTCCATGTTGCCAACAGGGATAGGGGTGCTCCGATACGAAGATACTTCCGTCGACGCTCAGAAGTTCTTCGACGACAAGCTAGCGGTGTTGTCAAAGAAAGAAACCAGCATCAACCCATCGGTTGTCAAGACGTGGGCGCAGAATTTATTCAAGAAAGAGAAACATGGCCACACCCGTGTTAAAAGCTGCGAAAAGGCGCACAAGTCAGCAGAGTCGCGCGATCTATGCGAAGTCTGCCATCTTCTGCTCCATGTGGGAACTCAGTTGCCCGCCACGAAAATGCGCGGTGGCAAAAGCAGGTCGGTGCTGTTTGATGCGTGCCGTCTCGCATCCCAGTTGAATAAACTCGAGCCAGAAGACTTTGGTAGGAAATGGAACTTGATCGGCAAGGTCTGGGCGAAGTTTCTGATATACGCAGCTTGCCAAAGCAAAGGCTTTGAACACTCGGAGAGCCTGAGCAGAGGAGGAGAGCTTATCAGCCATGTCTGGCTTCTAATGGCGCATCTCGGCGTAGCGGAGCTGGTGCAAACTTCCGAAGCACAATGCATTACCAAACTGACCCTGAACTAGTGCTTTCAGGTGGAATGCGACTTTTGCTTAACCTACTGTTACTTGAGTAAGATGAATAAGTGAAGCTCATCATCTTGAGATGGTGAGGTTGAGTTGTTTCAAATATAAGTTGTACTTGAGGACTCAGGAAATAATAAAACTGTGTATCAGTCGTTCTTCTTCACGGGAGATTCAAATACCTCAAAGTCGTTCGTAACTTTCGCCATATCTTTGATTCGTAGCTTTCAATTAATAAAAAAAAATGTAACTCTTAACCTAGCATAAATTGGTAGCTAGGTTTTTATTTTTGGTCGAATAGTAGCTAGGTTATCTACAACGTTAATAACATTTTACTTAGAAAAATCCAATTTGGGGCCGGATTTTGCCTATTTATCACTTCTAGTTATGACTTTATCTAAAAATAATTTAAAAACAAAAGAATTAGTTGAAGGTCCAAAAAATAACGAAAAACTCGTTGTATGTGGTTTTACGCGGCAATATTTGAATACTTTGGAAAGTTTCGAGTGTTTTGTAACGTATAAAAGTCAAAATATGAGCGCCGCAAAATTCATGAAAAATTAAAAAGTAACTCTTTATTCCTTAAAGTGGTTCGTAAATATCACATTTAAATTTTAGACGGTTCGATTTTCTTTGTTTTGTTTTTATCTGTGCAATATTATGCAGCAACTTCTCCATCTGTACTTATAAGTTTTAAAACTTATAATGAAAGTGCGCTTGAAATTCTAAAAATTTAAAAAATGCAATTAAATCCTAAAATTTATCACAAAGTGAATTGAGTCCTAAAATTTTTAAAAGTGCAATAAAATCCTAAAATTTGTCAGATTGATCTAATTAAGTCCTCAAGTCAATTGTACTTGTTGAAAGTCTTAGACTCGAATTGAACTTTTTGAAAGTTTTGAGGCTCGATTTCATTTTTGTGATAACTTTTATGACTTGATTACACTTTTTGAAGTTTTAGGACTTAATTGCATTTAGTGCACTTATCCCTTTTTTAAAATAAGGGTTAATATCACTAAAAACTCCAAACCGATATGCATATGATAAATTTACTCAAAACTAATTTTTTGATTACCAAAATCCCAAACCCAGTATACACCGTAATAAATTTACGATATAGCACCACCGGTACTAGATTGACTATATCTGTTAAGGTTTTATATTACTCCTGCTAACAGAAGTACTAATTCTTCCTCTACTTTCACATATTAAAGCAGTAGACATAGGTTTATCGAATTCTCTTTATGGATGTTCTCACTTAGAAATAATCACAAACTCCATCAAACGTCAAACTTGTTAATACAGAAATATTAGTATTCCAATTATTGCGCAATGAGCTTTTAAGATTTGGTATCTAAGTGAAAGTTAATTTTTTATGAGATAAAAAAAAGTTCGAGTTAAAATTTTCACTCAAGGTAAAATTGGTATTTTTTTTGGAATTATGCCCGAATATTGAGATTGAAAGATATATTGCCTTGCTTTATAATATAAAGATTTTGATCACCCAAAAAAAATTCCTAGTTAAGTTTAGAAATGTTGGTCCTAACTGCTTCGTCTAGGGCCTTGGATTCTCGGTTTGTGGCTACAATATAACCTCACCAAATTAAGGGTAGTTTCCTATCAACAGGGGCCGTCTGTGCCTGTCCACTAATGTGGCGGGCTGCCATACTACGAACTTTATTTTAATCGTGCCCGCACGCCTTGCCCTTCTTAATTCCTCATGTATTTTTATCTTGGAATTCCCTCTATATGAAGCAGTTCAAGATCTTAGGCTCCGTTCGTTTGGCGGAAAATATTCTCCTTTTGGAAAATATTTTCCCGGAAGTCATTTTCCTGGAAAATGTTTTCTCGGACCATAATTTTCCGGTGTTCGGCGATCAATATGAAAAAGTTTCGGAAAATATTTTTCGCCGCGATTAGCATGGCGGCGGCCGCGACGGTGGGTGGCCGCGATGAGCGGCGGCCGGCGACCGGCCACCTGGCCCCCAGCGCAGCGCGGCCCGGCGGCGGCGGCTAGCGGCAGCGGCGCGGCAGCGGCGACCGGCGACCTTAGTGAAGAAGAAGAAGAAGCTCGGAAAATGATTTCCGCTTTTGAAGAAGCGGAAGTCATTTTCCATGACTAGGCTATTTTGTGAAGGGGGGAAGGAAAATATTTTCCCACGGAAAACGTTTTCCGCCCCCCGAACACCGGAAAATCCGAAAAATATTTTCCGGGAGAATATTTTCCGTCAAATGAACGGAGCCTTATTTAGGTGAAAAAAAAAAGAGCGTGAAAATGGCTTAGAATATAAAAACAAGAAAAAAAAGAAAATATGGAAAAACGAGCGGATCCATAGCCCGATCCGATCATTCCTCCGTCCTCCTTGCGGACGCTCCGCTCCCGCCGCCCGACGCCGACGCCGACGCCATGGAAGAGCTCCCGCCGCCGCTCTCCGATACCCGCTCGATTCGTCGCTCGAGAACCGTCCCTCTCTCTCCGCCCAATCTCTCGACCCTCGTTGTCGCCGCCGCCGCCATCGTCCTAGCCTCGTTCTTCGGCAGCGCCCAGGGCATCAGGTTCCCGAATCGGATCCCCGACCCGGCCGCCGGCTCCCCGACCCGGCCCACGAGGACCGCCGTCTTCGCCCTCGGAAGCTTCTGGCGGTCCGAGGCCGTCTTCGGCTGCCTCGGCGGCGTCGTCCGGACCGCCGTCGGTTACGCCGGCGGTTCCAAGCCCAACCCCGAGTACCGGAGCTTGCGCGATCACGCCGAGTGCGTTCAGGTAGTTTACTTCGCGAATTTTGATTCGGTTTTATGGTATGGAGCTGTTGCGAGAAGATTCCGTGTAATTGCACATTGAATAGGAGACGGAGAAGGTTGGGATTGAACAGATCAGAAGCTAATAATGCTATCAACTGAGTATTTAGTGTCAACGATTGGAAATGCTTAGCTACCATTTATCAACTAGTTTGGATGCCACTGTTTTTGTTTCTTTCAAATTCAGAATCCTGCCCTTCATTTGTTGTTTCCTTGCACCTCCATTAGTGTGACTGTTAGAATTTCTTCCTATTAATTGAGGACACCATTCGCTATAGTCATCTGGGTATTAAGCATCCGGTGCCACCGCCAGGTGGTGTTTTGGCTTTATTTTGACGAAACATCAGAGTTTCGACTCTGTGAAAACAGCGAATGATTGCGTTATGGTCGCTTGTGATCAGTTGGATGAGTTCTGCATGTTTATGGAATAAGGGTATTCTTGTCAGTCTCTTAGTGTCTGGTTGATGAAGAGATTGATATATGACCTGGAAAGAGGTAAAAGAGAATGTTTGATCCTGTAAGTTTGCATTTTCGTCATTTGTGATTTGCTAATGAGGTGAAAGGTGCTGGATTATTCTTTCGCTTTCCTCTGAGGATCAGTCTGACTTATGCATGTCAATCATTTGGATTCATACATCTTGGGGCCATCAATGTTTCTCTAAAGGAGATCAGGGGGCTCGTCAAGGATAGCCGTCCTTAAATGATGAGAATTTTGTTGGAGACAGAGGGCATATGAGGTTAGGATTTGATCAAGCAGAAGCACATTTTGGATGTGAACCCTGTTAGCATGAAGGGGTAAATCAGGATTCAAACTGAGAACCATCAAATGAAAGCATTGTTTTAACTCTCCCCTTTCTTTTTCGTCCTGCCGCATTTCTTTTTCCTTTTGGGGAGCGGGAAGGAGGAGGAGGAGGTTGGCGAGAAATTTTCATCTATAAATCCTCTCTTTTGGGCAAGAGAGTTTCTAAACTTCTGTTTGTCCATGGTTTTGGGTTCCTGTGAACATTACTATTAAGTATTCCTAATCGGAACTTCATCTTTTGATTACATGAAAATTGCTAGTTGGTATCGATATTTACTTGTGCTTTGTTTGTTTTTGTGAATGCTGCTCTGCAGGTGGAATATGATCCTAGATTGATTAGTTACAGGCAACTTTTGGATGTCTTTTGGTCTAGTCACGATTCAAGGCAGGTTCTTGGGCAAGGTCCAGATGTTGGTAACCAATACAGGTGGCAGCAATTATTTGCATTGGCAGTTTTCCCGTTTAACAGAATTAGGATATGTGGTCTGTTGCTTTGTGTCTACCTAATATTTATGGATGGACTTCTTGTGTTGTCAGGTCAATTATCTTCACAAATGGAACTGAAGAGTCCAGGCTAGCAGCCCTCAGCAAAGAAAGAGAGCAAACCAAGTCCAAGAGCAGTGTTGTCACTACTCAAACTCAACATCTCGAAACATTTTATCCTGCGGAGCCTGAACATCAGGTTAAGTATTTTGGAACTGCTTCATCATTACTTGAAAGTGTACATATCAGAAAATCGAATCCTCCACGGTCATGTTAACTGAAGAGGTCGGAATATTTTTTGGCTGATTATCAAGTTGATGTGTCTGAAGACGTATTTCTTTATTTGCACCTGTCTATATCTGTTATTACATTGAAAATTGGGTCCACCCTAACCTTCCTTGGTTCCTCTGCAATGTGTTATGGCACTTCTAGTTCTTTAGTTTGGTTTCCCCTTGCAATCTCAATGCATATATTGCGGACATATCTGAAATCTTCAGCTCTGTCACTTGAGAGATGCATGCACTCCGTATGAATTCTCAAATGTACCATCTGGGACTTTCGTTGATTACAAGGAACTGGAAATAATCTCTTCTCCCCAGCATTTCTGATGAGAATTCCCATACCATGAAATGTGCAGAAGTTCGAGCTCAAGCGGAATCCCCTCCTCCTCCAGCTGATGGGAAACCTGCCTGAAGAGGAACTTCAGAGATCCCGTTTGGCTGCAAAAATGAACAGTTTTGCAGCTGAGCTTTGCCCACCTCACATTCAGAAGCAGATCGATGCGAAGATCGGTGATATCATCAGAAAAAGTTGGCCTCTCTTGAGAAATGTGTAGTTCCTAGATTAAACAATATAACAATTGTTTCGGATGACAACAATTCATCAGTCCATTCCGTGCCAGGAGCTGTAAATCCAACTTTTCGAGAGGAAATCAGATAATATTTGATGACATGCAACTGTAATTGTCCCGTAGATGTCACCATCTTTTTGTACCTGCAATATGTTCATCCGATACCATGTAGTTTTTCTGTGGCACTTCTGTCAAAGACAATCGTCCTGCTAATCATGCTCTGTATTACTGAGCTTTGCTTGTATTATATCTTGCTTTGTGACGTGAATTAACTTCTCTTTACTTTCCATCTCTTGAAACTAATGCTGGTTTATTATACAAAGTTTGAAATATACGTTGAGAAAAGTAAAATGGAAAATTATAAAAACTAAAATCACTAAATAATCAAGAGTTGTGCTTTTTTCACTCCTCTTTTGCTCTCAGGCTCCTTTTTACAGTGTACTGACCATATTACCTCGCTAAGAGTCAAAAGTGGGGTTCATTTGGGAATTTTTTATTTGTTTCTTTTTTTTCTTCCACTTTCTTTTTTCTTTTCGGTGGTTTTGTTGATTAGGGAACCCAGGATCTGAAGATGATGTTGTTTCCCGCAACGGTTCCTTGATGACAATGTCGAGCTATTTATCCTCTTGAATGGCCAATTGCTGATGCATCAAGATTATCCTCTTCACGTTTAGGTCTTGCTTGCATTACCTGTGAGCTCAAACACCTCGATTGTTTTGTTTCAATGCTCAGGAATCATAGTGAGAATCAAAGCATCTTCGGAGAGAATTACGAGCCCTCTCTGCACTAGTAAAGCTTTAAGTGATCACGATTAGCGTGATTAATCCTTAACCTGCTATTATGGAAGTTCAACACCAAGGCCAAGCTCTACAAGGAAGTCTTGCTCTCCTACCTATTTCTTACTAATAATCTGAACTACATGGTGGAAAAATCGAGATTGACGAACCTCAAATATGCGAGGCATGCGAAAAAGGTGAGGCAATATGCAGTGAGCTATGCGGCCGTGGCGTAGAGCAAGGTCCTCTTGTTGCTGCCAGAGGTGGCGTCCAAGGGACAATCAACAGAGTTGGCAAGGGCGTGTCTCCAGAGTTTGAAGCGGCGTTTGAGGAGGAGTATCGAAAACAGATGTTGTGGACCGTGCTAGACGAGAAGCTCGTGAGGGAGGAGATCAAGTTGTCCCTTGTGAGGGGTGATGGCGAGGTAGAGAGGCAGCTCGTGAGGTTCTATAAGACCACGCAGTTGTTGGTGTGCATGGAGGTCTCGGAGGAGGAAGATGAAGACACACAATATGCATCAACACAAGCGAGAACAAGACGAAAGAAAAGTGGAAGAAAAAAAAAGACCTCAAATGGGCCCCATATTCAACTCTGAGTTACAGCATTCTAAGGTGAAAAGAGTGAGGGGTAATATGATCAGTATAATGTGAAAGGGAGTATTTGAGCCAAACGAGGAGTGAGAAAAGCATCACCCATAATTAATATAAAATTTGAAAGATAGCTTCTGCAATTAAACGAATAACTTCCACCGTAAATTCATATAATAGACATGCGATTGCCGCAACAAAACTGCTTTATTCGAGTAATTTGATTTAGTTCATTAACGCCGAACAAAATATTATGGTACCTTCAAAAAAAAAGAAAAATAAATGTAAACATAACCAATAAACGTGTCTTATCTCTTCGTTTACATCATATTTCATATTACAACGATTCAAAATATGCACACAGATATCTCAATTGCAAAGCGCGATTCACGTAATTAGGCGTTAGGTAGATTTTATAATAAATATTTCACGTTGAAAATTCTCACTAGTGTTCATAACAATATAAGCATTTTAAGAAATTTGTAATTACATACATAAATTAATTACAGAGACGAGGGATTTATAGTTTCAAGATGGGATAATGATACAAATAATCTCTGAACTTTGACTTATTGTGTAATATGGCCCATGAACTTTTAATTTATTCAATGTGGCCATTGAATTTTATCTCAATGTATAATGTGGTCCTTGAACTTTTAATTTGTTTAATATAATCTCTAAACTTTCGGTACATGTTCAAATTAATCCATGGATTGAACATTTTTATATAATCTAATGACTAAATTGAATATGCATAAAAAGTTTAGAGATCATATTAAATAAATTAAAAATTTAAAAATCATATTACATATTGAGCTAAAGTTCAAGAATCGCATGTGTCATTTTTCCTTATAAGATATCGATTGAAAAAGCTAACACGGGGGATGAATTACTTTCAATGATGTGTCTATTTCTAATATACGAAAAATAGTTTTTTTTTTATAAAAAAATCCATCATTTAAAGTTCACACAAGACAGCATTCCCTATAAAAGGCCGCCTCCCATTCCTTGACTCTCTCTCCATCTTCTTCTCCACCGAGCTCACCACAATCGAACTCAACGCGGCGAGAAGGAAGAACGAGGTAGACGCGCCGCCGTCTCCAGCTGCCAAGATAGAGTCCGCCGATCGCAAGAGGAAGCGACCGCCCCCGACCTCCTCGTCCGCCGATCCGGCCGCCGCCGCCGCCGCCAAGTCCGGCAGCCTCAGGGACAAGCACCGGGCGAGGGCCAAGATGTCGTCGTCGTCGGGGGCGAACCAGGTCCGCGCGTCACACATCCTCGTCAAGCACGAGGGATCCCGGCGGAAGGCCTCGTGGAAGGATCCGGAGGGCCGGGTCATCCGCAGCACCACCCGCGAGAGCGCCGTCTCGCAGCTCAAGGCCCTCCGGGAGGACATCGTCTCCGGCAAGGCCAAGTTCGAGGACCTCGCCTCGCGCTTCTCCGACTGCAGCTCCGCCAAGCGCGGCGGCGATCTCGGTTAGCCCCTTTCGTTTAATACTGTTCGCTCTGGCCCGTCGATAATTGGAGATGAGCTTTGTTGTTGTTGAATCTGCATCTACTCATTTGATGGAGTCTGCCTTCTATACTGTTTATGTCTGAGAAATCCACGGGACTTTAGCTGAATTTGTGAAGCCGGAAGTTAAAAAAATTTAACTTTATTCATGTCCCTGAAACAATTTGTCCTTGATTTGATTGGAAGAAAGATTATGTAGCTGGAATTTGATCAATGAACGTATATGCAATATTCGGTTGTTAGTTTAACCTGTTGTAAAGTTTTAACCTCGTGATGCCAGATGTGCATTGATGGGGCTTGATTAAGTTCTATCCCTATCTAGCCTTTTCATTTTGTCAAATGCGTGTTTTGTGGAGTTATCCGTGGTCGATAGGAGGTAAATTACCGGAGAATAGTCTACACCATCTCATGGAAAAGGATATCATGATTTGAGCGAGTGTGGCAGATCCGAATATATGATTGCAGTTTTGACCAGATAGCGGATGTTTCTAATTCTTCCCGACGATTGTTATTGCAGCCCGCAGGCATGGTCTGTTAACTCACCAACTTCAAAACTTGTGGAAGAATCCGTTGTCTCTTTGAAATTCAAACTACATGAACTAAAAAGAAATACTCTAAGCGGCTTCTATGAGCTATATTTTCTGACTTGTGCTATATCAAACAGTTTTCAGAATACTTTTCTCATGTTATTACATGTCTGGAATGTTCTTGTATTGTTAAGGAAATAAGATAAAAGTTCATCAGCTGAATGAGGTATCTTTCCATCACTTTTTTCATGGTTTTCTGCCAATAGACCCCCATATACATGATAGTTGTCTGTTCAAAAGAAGAAATAATTTGGTCTTAGTGTGTGCTGCCTAGGTCCCCTTTAATATGAGGAAAAATCTTCCAGTAAAGGGAATGTGAAAAAATCAACAGCCCCTGGAGGGAGCTTCGCCCTTTGTTGGACTTTGGCTGTTAAAGGGCTTTGATTTTGCATCGAGGGAAAATAAAGGTGGTCAAAAAGTTGTATCGAGAAGGAAAGAGCTTATTCAAATACTGCCTTTGACTCGTTTTGGGCTATTTGGAAGGAATGATATATTTGAGCTTTTGATTGTAATTGTAATTTGATAGATACACTCCAGGATAGATGGGGTTCATATGCTATCGTAGCTTTACGAGACGTCTGCATGATTTATTCCATCCTAGAGGCATTTGAATAAAAGTTGAATTTGCTTGATACACTCCAGCTTAGATGGGGTTCATATACTGACTTTGCTTTACAAGACAACTTCATGATTTATTCCCAGCTAGAAGCTGTATTTCCATTTCGTGTACCCTGCTGTGGATCATTTTCCTAGATGATTTTGTGGCACCCTTGTCTCCCTTGATGAAGTTTGCCTTCACTGATGTAACAATGCTGTTTCTTAAACCAGGTCCAATTTGCATCTTCGAATGACAAAAACAGTTTTTTGATGAAGGACAAAAAATATTAAGTGTGAGGCACCAGCATGCTTCATATTCCCTGACCTAGTTGTTATGTCATCAGAATTTGTAACTTCAAGCCTCATCTTCCTTGTTCCTATTACCACACCTTAATGGTGAATTTGACAAATTTCTTAAAATCTGTGTTGGCCTTTTCAATGATTCTTCCATTTGAAAAGCTTTTCTGGTGAAGAAGTCCAAGTGATGCCGTATGGTCTAATTGCACAATGCATGACTGTGAGAGTTGGGGAGAGTGTAAAGAAAACATGATGCGCTCATGTAGTTGGAATGGTTTTCACTGGCATGGCTTTGATCTATATTTAGAGTTGCGGAAAGACAGATGTGTTACTAAACCAATATGATGGAAACAAGAATATGAAATACGAAGGAATGCATGATTAATGTGTTTCTGTTGCACCTGTCTTAATGGAGGACAAGAAAACACCAATTTCAACTTCGAGAGGAGGCCAAAGTATAAATAGTTTCACTAAGTTAACCCAAATATCTCCACTCTTGTCAAACCATTAAAATCAGCCTCACAAATCTCTTGTTTCCAAGCTATTGCCAGTTTCATTCCCTTACAAAGGCTAATTAGCAGGTTTACTTCAATAAGGAAGTTAACTGACTTATATGTCGAGGTACCATGTATTTCCTCAATTAAAAGATCTTCATTAACAACAAAAATGAACAAACCCAATATAAAGTATTATCCAATTGAGCTTTCGCTGATCCCCAACCTCATAACAAGAGAAAAGACATGGTTTGAATGGCTTCAAATTGATTGTTGTGGGGGACTTGAAACTGGGCATAGTTGTGCCTGTGGGGAGGAAAAGTTGTTTTGTGCTATTCTATTGATAGAAGGAACTTATTATAGTAGTAGTGTTGAGCAATTTACTGAATGTTAACAGTGTCCCTCTCCTTTTGTTATCCTAAGGAGCTAATCTACGATGTTGAAATGGCTGCCCTTCTTGTTCTGTTTAGGAATAGCAAGAAGTTACTGCAATTCCCATTCCTACTTCAAATGAAGAGGGATGAACACATAAATTGAGAGACGCATCAAATTGACAGCTCTTCGGTGCTTTATCAAGAGCTTGACCCATGTGGTTTGGACAGGGTGATATGTATATGAGTTTATACTAAATTTTAATCTTAAGAAATCAGACTCGACAATGTGCTCAGTATTTTTCCAGAAACATCGAGACATTTTTTTCTGCTTTTCTTTCTTTTGACTTTACTCTCTTTTCGATGAGCATTCGCAATAGTGTGTAAACATGCCTCGATGAACATTTTCTTCTGGTGATATATTCTGCAGCTTCATGTGAAGTGAATTAGGTTTATAGCTCTGGCTTTGCACTGTCAGACATCTAACTCCACCGATAAAGAAAAGGAGAAAAAGGAAAAGAGAACGAAAGGAATGACAAAGGACTATGCGTGACGCTTTTCAGTGTGTAGCATGATGAAGAATCGGTATATAATCTCACAGACCTCTTAATACTTCTGCAGGTCTTTTTGGGCGAGGCCAGATGCAGAAATCTTTCGAGGAAGCGACTTATGCTCTCAAGGTCGGCGAGATTAGTGACATTGTTGATACCGACAGTGGGGTTCACATCATAATGAGGACCGGCTAAAACATAGTTGGAGTGTGGAGAAGATCAAGTATATGATAAATGCTTTGCTTGGGATTCTGGTTATATGGTATTTGACTATTCGGAGTATGTTGCCATGATTTACTCGTTCCATGCCTCCTCTATGTCAGTGCAATTAACTGTTTTGAGGAAAACATTCACCCGTTAAAAACTTTTGGATGCTTGTTGGGATGTTTCTCGTGATAAAAGTGATTACTTTCTCGACCGACTTGGTTTTCGCACCGTTCTCTAATTCTAATGTCTTATCGTTGGTTCATGCGATTCAGATAAGAGAGACCATAACGATTAGTAAATGAACCACAGCGACATATAACGAGTACTGTGTTGGAAGAACGGAAGAAATTGTGGCAAATTCGATCGACAATGTTACATTTTATGAGCTGACGGCAAGTCTAGACAATGGAGGTAAGTCGGGTGCACGTCGTTTGCTTGCTTGCTTTGTTTAGAATTAGCCCCGACACATCTGCAATAGAGAACTCGACTATAAAGAAAAGTTCGAAGATTAAATTATGCAAATCAAGTCAGTTAAACGACTAAATCTGAGAAAAAAGGCAGCCTGTATATTTTTGATGGCTTATGAAAAACCAACCATGGAGCGTCCCCTCCCGCAAGGGAAAAGTGCCAAAAAAATTTTAAACCTTTTGCATTGGTGCTAATTTAGTCCAAAACCTTTTTTTGGTGCCAATTCAGTCCTGAACCTTTTGCATTTGTGTCAATTTAGTCCTAAACCTTTTTTTGGTGCCAATTTAGTCCTAAACCTTTTGTATTGGTGCCAATTCAGTCCTAAACCTTTTGTCTTTGTGCCAATTCAGTCCTTCCGATCAATTTTGGTTGGATTTTACTGACATGGACGCCACCCAGCCGGCGGCTGGTCACCGGCGCTGACGTGGACAACTTTAATAATAATTTTAATATTTTTTTGAATTTTTTTCTTTTTTTTTTCCTCCTCCCTTCCCCTCCCTCCCTCCTTCCTCCAGTCGGTCGTCGGATTGGCGACCGGCCAAAGGCCGGCGTCGGCGAGGCTCGACCTCGCTAGCCACTAGCGAGGTTGGGCCTCGCCCAGCCATAGCAAGGCTTGCCTTCGCCGTCGCTGGCGAGGGCGAGTCTCGCCCAGCCGTCGGCGAGGCTTGACCTCGCTAGATCCAGCGAGGCCGCCCTCGCCGGCGCTGGCCTTTGGCCTCTGGCCGGTCGCCGCTCCGGCGACCGGCTGGAGGAAGGAGGGAGGGGAGGGGGGAAAAAAAAAGAAAAGAAAAAAATTAATAAAAATTAAAAAAAAAATTAAAATATTATTAAAGTTGTCCACGTCAGCGCCGGTGATCGGCAGCCGGTCGGTCGGCATCCGCGTTAGCAAAATCCGGCCAAAATTAACCGGAAGGACTGAATTGAAACAAAAACAAAAGGTTTAGGACTGAATTGACATCAATGCAAAAGGTTTAGGACTTTTTTGGCACTTTTCCCCCTCCCGTAGCCACATGACATTTAAGGTTTCACGCCAACTCGATCAATCCTTCCATTGTTGACTATATTGTACATGTAGAAACACCTGCCATTTCAACCGTGCTGATCGAACCGGAAATACTTATAAATGAATAATCAAGCAAGGTCCTAAAGATCTTTTCTTGTCTTCCAAGTGAGATAAATGCGAGATTTGTAGCCCTCCGTACAGTGTCGTCCATTTCAGCTGAAGTATCACGTTTGAATCAAGGACTGCACTTGCATTAGCACATTCGCATCACGCCTCACAATCTTGTGCGTTTTGGTTTTGGTTAGGAAAGTGATACTGCTGGCTCAGCTAAAAAAAACTCAACAAATTTCACGTCTTTCATTTGCAGATTCTTCTGCCCAATCAGTCAAAAGTGTACTAAGTTGATAATTGTAATCAAAGCGGTCTAAATCTTTTGAGCAGTTCTAAGGGGCCGACATTCGTCAAACCAGAGCTTCTTACCGGGTCATGTGCTATGGCCAGAGGAGCAATGCAGATTGCAGAAAATGAACAATGCTACACAGAATTATTCAAATTCGCCCGCTTTTCCGAATTCCTCTTGAATATGGCATGAAAAACCAATGCTCCTACATCTTGATACTTAACAGAACCAACAGGAGTCAAAACCGTGCAGAATTCGGTCGATCCTTCATTTCACATGCTACGCCAGCTCACAATTTTTTTGAAGAAACTCCAAGCTTTCGTGAGATCTTAACGATCCGAGTGCATGTAACCTGTACCAACACATGTTTTACAAAACCTTCATTAGCTTTTTTGTGCAAGGGGTCGAAATGATGACCAAGATTACGCCGAGCAGCAGAGCAATCAGCAGGTTGATCACCCTTTTAGCTCGGAAGTTCCTCAGCAACCTCTGGCTCAGCCAAATCAACGACCCACACAAGCAAGAAGGCAGTGAGTTAGCAGAGCGCAAAAAGAAATCAGGGTCAGTCAAAGAAAACCTGGGCTATGATACATGACCGGTAGGGAAAATATGATCTGAGAAAGCCAAAAGTAATTGAAGAGGAGTCTACTCAGAAGATATTTTACAAACACACGCCAGAACAAAGAGAAATTTTACACATTGCAGATGTCACAGGCATGTCGAATACTGCATTTCCTTAAAAAAGGTAAGAAAGGGGGACTAACATGCAAAAAGTGACCGATTATTCCATCTATCAGGAAGAGAAAACAGGAAGTTGGATACGAATAATGTGAAGAATCTTTATTAAGAAAGAGTCTGCTGTACTACAGGAAATCAAGGACCTGGATACAGAAGAATGAGTTCGGGAGCTACTGTTCAATCATTAAAAAAACAGAGTATTTGTTCGAGTATTGAGGAGGAGAGCAGACCCACAAAGATTCTGGGTTCAACTCTGAAGGTGCAATGAACCATGGCATTGTTAATGAGAGGTGTCGTCATTCAATCAACTGGAGCACAATGCCGCGTAATATTGCAACACCGGCGCAAGATGAGTGTGATGAAGCGGTTCTTGTCAACCAGCCATCAAAAGAGGCGAACAGACTGCCTCGGTAAATCTACTCCATAGACTTCATGCCTCGGGACAGATCAAGGGGATCATAGTTATGCGCAAGAAAACTAGGAAGTTGTTCATCTGATGAGACCAGAAGTTTAGGGTGCGTGAAGCCTACGGAAGACTGACTCGTGCGCAGTGAATTCCAAATGATATTCAACAAGAATCCCGAACGACAAGTGTAATGATGAAACGGGGGCAAAAAGAAACAAATGTCTAGACCTTCTTGCCGCTACGATCTTCCGGCAGCGCTCGGCACCCCTAACAAAGGATGCGCATTTCAGATTGAGACAGATTCAACATGAGAAGCTAAGTTTCGATGGTGGACAGATCGTGCGCTGATACTCCAAATAAGGCCATCATCAAACGAGTGAACTTAACTTCGATCCACTCAGTGCCGTGCAAAAGTCCAAACTTGCTAATACATTCCTGTGATGGCTCATTTCCAGTGACAATTCAATGCACGATTCTGTATTCCACAACAACTGAAGCATATACCTCCTTCACGATCACGACGCAAATGCATAACGATCTCCTTGCGAGCTTTCGGACTCGTGTCAGACTTCATCCGGCGCCCCCGTGATGCCGTCGCGACTCTGCAACCTGAGCCCATCGAACCTACCCATCGAGGGGTCACCATCGACAGAGAAGCATAACGATCGCGCCATCATACGAGCATGCGCACCGCCGTGCCGTCGATCGCGGCCTCGCGAGGCGCTACCGCCGTTCATTCGAGCGCTCCGCCTCATTCAACCGCCGGACCTCGACTCTACCGCCGAAGCGGACGCCGTCTCGCTCCTCGCGAATCGCCAAGGGAGAGAAAACGGAGAGAAACACAAACAAACTCACAGAGAATCCGAGATCGCGGCTCGATCTCCGCCATGGCGCTCCAGAGCAGCTTCCGAGCAGAGGCCCGTCACGCCGCCAACAAGGGCGGCTCCTCCGCCGCCACGGGCGGTGCCACGTCAATGAGATCGACCTTAGTCATAGATGATTGATGATCATGCGATCATGAATTAGTTTATATCATTGGATAAAGTCGCGGCCTTCATCGGACGGTTCACAACGCACCGCACTTGCCGTCGCACGGTAAACTCCGGTCCTCGAGGAGCACCGGATCCCCATCTCCGGAGTTTTTTCACCGATTTCTCCATATTGTTATTGACCATACTGTCCTTCCCATCCCCACGTGGCGCGATCTCATTAGCCGGTTAAAAAAAAAAGAAAAAGCGCGTGAAGGAGGAAGATCTACCTTGACTGAACCCGTCCCTACTCTCTGTTCCCTTTCCGCCTCTTACAAATCTCCCCCAAAAACTCCACCATCAATCATCATCATCTGCTTCGTTCAATTCTGCCCCTTTCTCTCTCAGGCATTTCCACAAACACCTCGCGAGCAGACCCATTTCGGCATCCCCCACGCGACAATGGCGACCCAGGAGGAAGCGCCCAGATCCGGATCCGGAGCCAACGGCGAAGCCCCGCCGCCGCAACGCAAGGTGGCCCTGATCACGGGCATTACCGGCCAGGACGGGTCGTACCTCACCGAGTTCTTGCTGGAGAAGGGGTACGAGGTCCACGGCCTGATCCGTCGCTCCTCCAACTTCAACACCCAACGGATCAACCACATCTACATCGACCCCCACAACGCCCACAAGGCCCGGATGAAGCTCCACTACGCCGATCTCACCGACGCCTCCTCCCTCCGTCGCTGGATCGACACGATCTCCCCCGACGAGGTCTACAACCTCGCCGCCCAGTCCCACGTGGCGGTCTCCTTCGAGATCCCCGATTACACGGCCGACGTCGTCGCCACCGGCGCCCTCCGCCTCCTCGAGGCCGTCCGCTCCCACGTCTCCGCCACCGGCCGCAGCCACATCCGTTATTACCAGGCCGGGTCCTCGGAGATGTTCGGATCGACCCCGCCGCCGCAGTCGGAGACCACCCCGTTCCACCCGCGGTCCCCCTACGCCGCGTCCAAGTGCGCCGCGCACTGGTACACCGTGAACTACCGCGAGGCCTACGGGCTGTTCGCGTGCAACGGGATCCTGTTCAACCACGAGTCCCCGCGGCGGGGCGAGAACTTCGTGACCCGGAAGATCACGCGGGCCGTGGGGCGGATCAAGATCGGGCTGCAGAGCAAGCTGTTCCTGGGAAATCTGCAGGCCTCCCGGGACTGGGGGTTCGCTGGAGACTACGTGGAGGCCATGTGGATGATGCTGCAGCAAGAAAAGCCGGACGACTATGTGGTCGCGACGGAGGAGTCACACACGGTGGAGGAGTTCTTGGAAGTAGCGTTTGGGTATGTGGGGCTGAAGTGGAGGGACCATGTGGTGATCGATAAGAGGTACTTCAGGCCGGCCGAGGTCGACAACTTGAAGGGAGATGCGAGTAAGGCCAAGAAGGTGCTGGGTTGGAAGCCCAAGGTTGGGTTTGAGAAGTTGGTGAAGATGATGGTCGATGAGGACGTTGAATTGGCTAAGAGAGAGAAGGTTCTTGTTGATGCTGGGTACATGGATGCTCAGCAACAGCCCTGAGAATTCGGTACTTCTTTATCTCTTGCTGCTCTGTTTCTTGACCATTTCCTGTGCTCTTTTTTGGTTATTTATTTGAAGATCAGCTCGATGCAAGTAAAGTTTTTGTTTTTTAAAGGTTTCAAGGGTCTGGGATGTTCTTGGGATGGATATAGGTTCTTTACCAGTTAATTGTCTATCTTGTTGGGTAGACCAATGAGTTCAAATGTCCGTTGGATTTGTTGTAACTTACCCTATTCATTCGCTTTCAATTAGTACATTTAGATTTTTTTCATTTTCCTTGGTTTGCGTCATTTGAATTTGCTGCTGCCTTTTCAAGTTCGGTTGAGCTTAAGATGAGTTGAAGCCTGTGTTTTTACCTTCTTTAGATCTGCTTAAGTTCTGGAGAGTGCAATATGTTGTGCACAAGAAGGAGAACGGACCAACCCCTTTGTGTTTTCGAATTGATAGGAAAGCAAGGGAAATTTTTTTGATGGGAATGCAGTAACTGGAAGTTTGGTTCTGTCATTTCTTCTGTTGATAGTTCACGATGCGTGATCAATCCAAGGAGATCTTGATCTGGTCATTTTTAGTCTGGACCCTTTGTGTGGGCTCTCGAACTGTTATGAATGTCCTTTTCATATAAGAACGTTTTTTTCTGTGTTTGTGTCGGCGCAACCCATGTCTCCTTCACGAAGTTAAAGATCGAAGAGGATTTCATCTCTGAATAAGATCCAAAAGATCTTGTATTTGTCACGAAGGAGAAAAAATTAGAACAATGATATCACAGATTTTCTATAGACCTGCAAATTGTATATTGCAGTAGGGATGCTGTCTTGTGTGGTATTGTATGTTGAGTTGAGATCTTGGCTATCTCCTCTTATGACAGGGAAAAGTACAAAAAAAAGTTCTAAACCTATTGCATTGGTAGCAATCGAGTCTCAAACCTTTCAATTGGATCGATTAAGTCATAAATCTTTTCACATTGACATCAATCGAGTCCATCATTTCAATTTAGCCCGGAAATTGTTGATATGGACGCCGGCCGTCCTACGTGACACGGCTAAGCCGACGTGGATAATTTTTTTAATTAATATTTTATCTTTTTTTTTTCTTTTTCTTTCTCATTGGTCTGTGGCAAGTACTTGGCCATGGCCGGTGACCGGCACAGGTGAGGGCCGCTGAGGGCGTCGCGGCCTGTGTGAGGGTCACCCTTGCCGAATCTGCCCTTGCCAGGAAAGAAAAATAAATAAAAAAAAATTTCGGAAAAATAAAAAAATTATTTAAAAATGTCTACGTCAACGTCGGCCGTGCCATGTAGGATGGCCGGAGTCCACGTTAGCAACTTACGACCTAAATTGGTCGGATGGGGACTCATTGATACCAATGTGAAAATGTTTAGGGTTAATTTTGTCCAATTGAATGATTTATGACTCAATTGATAAAAATGCAATATGTTTGAGACTTTTTTTTGTACTTTTCTCCTTGATGACGAGAAAGCCCCTAGAAGATTAATCGGTTGATTAAATAATATAAGAGCATCATCAATTTTAATTGACTTGATTATGTTCTGATAATTGAATAGCCATCTTAAATCTATATTGACGTAGGTGGATTGTCCGGAAAATATCGAACAAAAGACTATATATCATGGAAAGGCACGACGTATTTTGAGGAACGACGTATTCCAACCTCGCTCTTCTAAGGATAAAGTGAAAACGAGATCATGGAAAGGCACAAACACATCTTATACCCGTAAGACATCTCCTAGCAAAGAATGACCGAGGAACATGGTTACTTTGAGGGAAGAAAAAAGGCCGGTTCTTATGAATTCCTTATACCACCGTTTTAACTTTTTTACTACTTTTAAAATTTGAATTTTTTGCAATAAGTGGACATACTAAATGATGCGAACGGTTACAAGTCAACATTAAAATAAGTGGGTCGTGATCAATACCGGATAACAATTCATCACATCACTACTATAATCAACTGTGCGAACTCGTCTTCTCAGTATCCCCTCTCTAATTCTTGCGTCTTCGGGTCCGAACTTCAGCAAAATTGGATTGGCTTATTAATTATTTAACCTACCAATGACAAAATGCACCGGATACTTTCTTGTCCCTCACTCTAGATTTGGCTTAGTCAAGAATCAATTCGGAGGAGAGGCACCCGTTTGAAGAAAAGCAAAGAAAAAATGAACAAAATAATAAAACACAATCATAAAAAGAATGCACACCCCGACACACCTCACATGGTAACATTCATACCATGTAATATCTAGGGTTAATACCACAAAAACCCTAAACTGATATATTTGTGACAAATTTATCAAAAATTAATTTTTTGATTACAAAAAACCCAAAACTAGTACACTTGTTACAAATTTATCACAAACTAATTTTTTGACCACCAAAAATCCAAACTGGTACATCGGTGACAAATTTACTCTCCGTTAGTTTCTGTCAAATTTTACTATTAAATTTATTGACCTGGATGACCCATGGTGACGTGATATGGTGACGAGGCAAGTCCACATGAAAATTCGTAGGGTAAATACCACGAAAAACCCCAAATTAGTTCGCTAACGGAGGGTAAATTTGTTATAGGATTACTAGTTTGGAATTTTTGGTGGTAAAAAAATTAGTTTGGGGTAAATTTATCACATGTATACCAGTTTGGGATTTTTCGTAGTAAAAAAATTAGTTTGGGGTAAATTTGTCACAGGTGTACCAGTTTGGGGTTTTCGGTGGTCAAAAAATTAATTTGAGGTAAATTTGTTACAGATGTATCAGTTTGAAATTTTTCGTGGTATTATCCCTAATATCTAATATATGATAGTTACATAATATCGACGAATTTTATGAGGAAAATTTCAAACGAGAGCACGAAGTGAGCTCATTTTCTCAAAAGAGGGTTTCAAGTGGACTTCATCTCAAAATAAGGGAATAAAGAAATCAATTTAGTGTTAGATAAGGGCCTCATAAGTCATAAGCACGTGCATCTCGCATGCCATTTTCCAACCATAATCAAAAGGCATTTTCGTCTATAGGCTTTTTCTTTTTTTCGTTCTTTCTTTCTTTTTTATTTGGGTTAATACCACGAAAAACCCTAAACTGGTACACTTGTGACACATTTACCCCAAACTATTTTTTGACCATAAAAATCCCAAATCTAGACACGTGACAATTTTACCCGAACATACACAAAAACCCCAAATGTACACATGTGACAATTTTACCCCAACTAATTTTTAATATTATTTTTTTATTTTTTTGAATTTTTTCTTTTTTCTTTTCTTTTTTTTTTTTTTTCGCTTCAACCTCGGCGAGGGCCGCCTCGCTCGACTCGGCAAGGGCGACCCTCGCCGGATCTAGCGAGGTCGGCCCTCGCTGGCGTCGGGCGAGGGCCGTCTCGCCCGCCCAGTGCGAGAGCCCGCCTCGCCCGGAAGCCGACGAGCGGCGGCCCGCCGACGCAGGCGAGGGTCGCCCTCGCCTCGAGTCGGGCGAGGATCGCCCTTGCTCGGGCGAGCGGGACAGCCCTCGCCGACGTCGGCGAGGGTCGCCCTCGCCAAATCCGGCGAGGCGACCCTCGCCGATACCAGTACGAGGGTAGCCCTCGCTGAGTCGGGCGAGGATCGCCCTTGCCCGGCGGGCGAGGCGGCCCTTGCCGACGCCGGCGAGGCGGCCCTCGCCCGACGCCGGTGAGGGCGGCCCTCGCCCGGCGCCGGCGAGGGCGGCCCTCGCCCGAGTCGGGCGAGATGCCTTGCCCGACGCCGGGCGAGGGCGGCCCTCGCCGACGCAGGGCGAAGACGGACCCTCGCCCGTGCACGGCAAGGGCGGCCTCGCCGGATCCCGGCGAGGACGGCCCTCGCCGACGCCGCGAGGGCGGCCCTCGCGGCTTCCGCCTACGGCGTCATGGACACCGCCGGCGACCGGCCCGAAGGTTGAAGATAAAAAAAAAAAATAAAAGGAAAAAATAAAAAAATAAATAAAAATTCGAAAAAAATAAAAAATAATATTAAAATTTTAATTCAGGGTAAAATTGTCACATATGTACCAGTTTGGGGTTTTTTTGTGGTAAGTTCAGGGTAAAATTGTCACAGATGTACCAGTTTGGGGTTTTTGATGGTCAAAAAAATAGTTCGGGGTAAAATTGTCACAGGTGTACAAGTTTGGGGTTTTTTATGGTCAAAAAAATAGTTTGGGGTAAATGTGTTACAAGTGTACCAGTTTAAGGTTTTTCGTGGTATTAACCCTTTTTATTTTCATCCTTTCTATGTAGTAGTCGAATATTTACACCCGACTTACAAAACACCATATTAAAAGAAGGGAAAATACCATAAAAAATCCCAAACTATGTCACTTGTAACAAATTTACCCTGAATTTTTTTTTGTGACACGAAAAACCCCAAACTATGCCACCTGTAACATATTTACCCCATAATACTTTGGCCCATGAACATTTTCGTCTTTTTCCTTTTTCTGTTTTTTTTTTCTTTTTGCCGGATCCGGCGAGGGCGACCCTCGCCGGCGTCGGGCGAGGGCGGCCCTCGCCGGGAAGAAAAAAAAAAGAAAAAGGAAAAAGACAAAAATGCCCATGGCCAAAGTATTATGGGGTAAATGTGTTACAGGTGGCATAGTTTGGGGTTTTTCGTGTCACAAAAAAAAGGTCAGGGTAAATTTGTCGCAAGTGGTATAGTTTGGGATTTTTTGTGGTATTTTCCCTTAAAAGAAAGACAAAGAATACTAATCAATACTTCATATTTTGATATTATTCGAAGATCTGAGTCGACTAGCAGAGAAAAACACAAAGGACTTATATAGATCCTACTGATAGTTTAGCTAATTCAGAGAGTATGCGGTAAAAAGTTGGATTCTTTTCAAGTTGAACAATGGCTGATTTGAATTTTGCTGATAAACTGAGAACCGAGCAGGACCGAATGATCTAACCGCACCTTCGACTCCCAGAAGGCGCGACGAAGTCCCATTACGACACTCCATAAGGCCGAGGACGAGGTGAGCATTGCATGATCTGCAATCGGATGCATTTCCTCATTCACTCGATCATCCTGTGTATCTCCCCACAGTGGACGCGAGAAGTTGACAGTCCCCAACACTGGGACATCACACGGAGCACACCATCTTTTCTGAGCGGAAACAGTGTGTGTATAAGAACAGGCTTCACTTCTTCCTTTAACTGTATTGAAGATACAATTGATATCTGTGATGTGATTTAATCCTAATATATATAAATTGCATAATTCAATCCTAAAATTTGTTAATTTTTAAT